GTTTTCCCGCACTTTCTTCTAGTATTTTTCATAGTTTCATGTCTTAAGTTTAAATCTTTAATCCAGTGAGTCTATCTTAGTTAATGGTGAAAGGTGTGGGTCCAGTTTCAGTCTTCTATAGGTCACCAGCCAGTTCACCCAGCACCATTTATTAAACAGGGAGTCTTTTCCCCACTGAATGTTTTTAATTGGCTTATCGAAGATCACATAACAGTAAGTAGGTGGATTCACCTCTAGGTTCTCTATTCTGTTCCTAAACGTCTCCTTTTTAATTATCTCTCTCCCTTTTATTTCTGGACCCTGGCAAGCCTCACTGTCCTTATTGTTTTGTTCAGAATAGGAAAACAGAGATTATTTTATATTCCAGGGAAGCTATTATCTCTCTTTCTTTTTTTCTCTCTGCCCTTACAGTGATGCAGGCAGTGCTTCACACAAGTAGCCGCGTAGCTGCATCTTAAGACAAAACATACGTACAACAGAGTCCATACAATTCAATGAACTCAGACTTGTGCAGATGATATTTTCCACCTTTATTTCCTGTGCCAGAGGCAGCCAGAACAGTTCCCCATACCAACTGCCTGTCTTTTAGCTTTGTACCTTCCTTCAGTGGGTGACAGCTCCTTTAAGTCCTCCAGGCCAGGCTTCACATTCAGTAACTTCTTGTAGAGTGCCAATGGGAAATGGAGATCGACCACAGTAGAGTTGTAGATGGCTAGTCCACAGGTTATGCCAATTAGGTGAAACCAGTTGTGCTCTACAAAACACTTTTTAAGATATATACAAATGTGTCAAAAAAAAATGTAGTGTCTGTGATCATCAAAACATTCTACATTTACCCCCAAATATTTTCAACATAAAAAAAATAAAGGTCTCATTTTCATTTTCCTCATTCTGAAGCAGAGGAATGCCCCTAACAAAAATTCATTTTCCCAGAAAGATGCAATGTGCACAGAGTTAAGCATTTCACCCAGTGATACAGTGATACAGAGAACAGCCCATAGTCATCAAGAGCAGGGCTGCCCAACAGAACCTTTGGCCACGATGGAAACATTCTATTCTGTCTCATCTCTTATGGTAGCCACTGGCTACAGGTGTCTCCTGAGCACTGGAAATATAGCTCATACGCCTGAATGAATAAATCCTTAATACTATTTACCTAAACAAGACTTAAATTTACACAGCCACATGTGGCTAGTGAGTACCTTTTGGGACAGTATAGATCTAGGGAGAAAACTCTGATAGGAAAAAAGAAAAAACTGTAAATTATAGTCTGGTTAAAATTAGAATGCCTTTAAAAACTTAGCTCTCCTACTGAATTTTCAAAACTAAAGTATGTATACGTGTGTGTGTACTCAAACACATATTATCAGTGTTATTGAAATGAGACATGTTTGATTACTGACTTTCTACATGTCATAAAGCCAATTTCTTTATCACACTATGCTACTCTAACCCTTCTTGGATAGCAAGACCCGGACCCTACCTCCTGGAAATGGAAATAAGGCTGATGGCTGACAAAATACACTATGAGGTCCTGGGCACAGGTATAAACAAAGGTTGGATATACACTTAGACATTTTAAATCATTATCTTTGTTATATTCCTCTTTGCAAAGTCAGAAGTCAGTCCGACAAGACAAAGAAATTTTGATTCTCTCATGTCTTTAATTGTGACACCACTAACTTACCGTATCTGAAAACCACAAAAGATTTGAATCTTGATAGTAGGTAAACATTCCATAGATGGGATTCAGAAGTTCTTTTAACAACAAAAGAAAGAATTCTTTTGTGACGCCACCAGCATCTACTGCTTCTTCACCATCAAAGATGACCTGAAAATAACAGAATGGAATTAAACTTCAGGAAAATCTATACTGAGTTTTATTTATTTATTTATTTATTTATTTTAGCAAATTCCTTTCTAAACTCAGGACAAAAGAAAGAAGACATGAGAGAGCATACACACTGATACAATGAAAACTGCAAGGTGAGTCTGTTGATTAGTACTAGTGGTATCAATTTTTAACAAGGTACTTAAAGATACATTTTTCGTAGGTGCTTCAAGGGATACAAAGGAAGCCAGAAGTTTCCTACATGTCCACAGAACATCTACCATCCTTTTAAGGGCAGTAAGGGAAGGATGAAAGAAGCAATCAGAAAATACATCTTATTTTCAAAGACCAAATATATAACGAGAGGTAAACGTCCTGGCACATAGAGAAGAGCAATGTCAATTTGAGTTAAGAACATTTTGGAAGAAATCACTTTCAATAGCGTTTCTGAAGTAACTGATGCATGTAGAAAGGAAGAGAGGATTCTAATCAGGGCGCAGACACAGGCAGGGTTAGGGGTGGGCTGTCAACACGCACGCTGGACCCATGATGGTCGTTAACAGTAATGAGGGCAGCAAACCAGCAAATGATTCTGAGTTTACTATATGCCAGCCCTTAACCTCAAAACAGCCTTATGCATAGGGATTACTATATTATCTCCATTTTACAGATAATGGCTCAAACACAGAGCTAAAAACTGAGGATCTGAGAAACCTTATACTTGTGGCTGTTTTCAAGGTTTCCTACAGCAAGACAAGAGTAAAGGTGGGAAAAAAACCAGGACTTTGATTATACAGATGCTGGCAAAAGACTCAAGTCAGAACTCCCTCATCAGAATTATGACAGTCTAAAAATCAAAGCAGTGTATCAAAAATATAACTCAGAAGTTCTAGGGATAACCACCAGGCAGACTGATTTGACTGATGCTACTTATGAGAAATTTTGGAAAGGGTAATAATATCATGCAGATGATCAGTTCAGTTTCTCGCCTATTATGTTTCCCAAACCGGAGCTTGTAACAGCATTGGAAACAGAGGTAAGGAAGTCACCTGATGGAAAAAAATGAATACTTTAAACAATTTCAAATAGATCCACTGAATCATCTGCAGTGTACCTCCCGTTACCAAGGATTGTGTCATCGCCTGGGAATACAGTAAGCGGTGATACAAACAAGGTCCGTGGGAAGAGACGATTCTTCATCTAGTAATCGGGGGCTGCCAGGCTGCCAATCATAGTCGGCCAATACTTCCCAGGTGACCTCACTACCTTTCCATTGCCTGTTTTACCTCCTTCTCTTAAGTCTTGCACATCCAAAATCTTCCTGGATGATAACTTAATAGTTGTCACTCTGCAGCTTGAAGCTTTAGTTTTTGTTGTTGTTTGTTTGGTTTTGGTATGGCTGTATTGGGCACACCAAAGACAGCAGAAGCTGATAAAGAAAGCACTAAATTCCCTTGAAAAATCCACTAGTATTTTATGTGATGTTTCCTTGAGATATTCTGGTTGATGATTTGACAGAAGGAGGTGGTTAAATTCTAATAAAATGAACGAAAGAAAGAAAGAATGGCTGCACTCCACAATTTGAAAAAGGTGCTTTATCAATACCGTTTAACAAAAACAATAAAGGTATTTAGAGGAATATATACTGAAGGAGCTCACTTTGAGGGGCTTTTTCAGATCAATGTCAGAATGAATGCTCAGCTCTCTCAGGGCGTCTCCAACGAGGTTGTTCCTGCGAACGTGAAGGACCAGGAAGGGGCTTCTGGCCAGCAGAGGCTCCAAGGTGAGAAGCATGAAGACATTCTGCAAGTTGGCTCCATTGACTGCCACCTGCAGCAGCACACCAAGAACACAATTACTCTGAGTCAGTGGGGGAGCAGGCAGCTGTGTCTTTGGATCCCCTCCATTTTGCCCTTTTTTCCCCCTCTTAACTTTCATGGATTTCCTAAGTTACTTATGTTTACACAGCACATAAATCTTTCTAATCTGGACTCAAAGAGATTAACTGAAACAGTTTACAAATCACATGATCTATAGCCAGGCCCAGGAAAGTGATTCAGATTAGCTGAGTAAGGCGAAGATAGCTCCACTTGAAGAAACACAGAAAGAGCGGGTAAGAACAACGGCTTTCAAACTGGCCACTTGTTGAGGGTTTTTATTCTTTAAAAAATGTCCACTTCTCGGGGCAGTGCCTGTGACTTAAAGGAGTAGGGCGCCAGCCCCATATGCCGGAGGTGGCGGGTTCAAACCCGCCCTGGCCAAAAACTGCAAAAAAAAAGTCCATTTCTTTGGAAAACGTTTAAATTGTCAAAATCACAGATATATCAGAATGAAGACAGACATATATGTACGGATGGATACAGACAGAGGCTGGAAAGAGAGACAGAGGACAGGAGGGAGTGAGGGAAGGATAAATGAAGTTATATATCTACCAACAGCAGAAAGTGGTAGATCTGGACTGCTAATTCACAATGTCTTTGTGGCTTGTCAAAATCTACTGTACTTTATAATAAAAGAATGTATTTTAAATAACTAAATGAATCTCTATAACTCAAGTTTTTATTCAATAAAGAATTACAAGCTCCATTTAGTTCTCCTTCTCTGTCAGGGGTCAGCAAACTGTCCCCATGATCCAGGTTTCCCCCACTCAGGGCTGGATGAGGACCCCCATTTTCTAGGCCTAGGTAAGCTCAATCACATTCTCTGGGCTCAAGCAGGTCTAAAAGCCAGCCTGACCCAAGTCCCACCTAAGCTGCCACTCCTGGAAAAGAGAACATACCCTGAACAAGACCGTATTCCCACAAGGGAAGTTTTAAAATTAACTTCTGCCCTCAAGCCCCTGGAACCCAACAGTTGCAATAATTCCTTTCCCCAAACCCCCCTTGCCTGAAGGGTAGGAGAAGTGGTAGACCCCTACATGGAAGGCCCAGAGGGGCTACCTGCTTGGAAACCCCCCTTCATCATGCCAAGGCTCTGACTTTTTCCACCCTTATCTATCAATAAAATCTGTCCTTTCGCTTACTCATGTGGTCCATGGATTCCTTCTTCAAATCTCTGACACCACGGACTCAGCAAAGGAGAGATTCCACTATATCCATGTATCGAATTAAGCTGATTCCTGTTTCTGCACAGCTCTTAAATTTAGCAATGGTTTTAAACATTTTTAATGGTTGAAAAAAAATCAAAGGAAGAATATTTCACCATGTGTGAAAATTATATAAAATCCAAATTTCACTGTATATAAATAAAGTTTTATTGGAATACTGCCCGTTCATTCATTTATATATTGTCTATTGCTGCTTTTGTGGTATGACAGAGCTGAATAGTTATAACAGAGACCATATGGTCTGCAGTCTAAAATATTTGCTGAGTGGCCCTTTATAGAAAATGTTTGCCAACCCCCGATTTAGATGAATGTGCATTCACATATGTATTATATTCAACAAAAATTTCTGGGATAATGTAGAATTATTCTAAGAGTCATAATGGCACTTTACTCAAATAGGTTTTCTCCTATTAAGAAAAATTCTGAGTGAATATCTAGGGTGAGGGAAATGCAGTAACGAAAGGAAATAATTTTTAAAATATGATACCTGCATCTGCAGTTCAGCATCAGTCTGTAACATTTTGGTCTTGGCTTGAGCATCAAAGATGAAAGGGTAGGAACAAAGTGTTACAGCATCCTAGAATAAAACATATTACAGGCAGTAGTAGAGTACTCCAAAGAGAATACTGCTAGAAAAATATATAAGCAAATTTAAAAAGGAACATTTACCTGTATTATAGATGGTCTAGCCTTCTGTGTAAAGAAAAATAAAAAGTCTCTTACTTTAATTGTAAAACCTAAATTTTAACACACACCCCCCAATGTAAAATATAGATATCAAAATAGATAGCCTATCTGACTATTTGGCCATGCAACTAACACCATTTGAATGGCTGACTAAATTTTTTTTTTTTTTTGCAGTTTTTGGCCAGGGCCAGGTTTGAACCCACCACCTCCGGTATGTGGGGCCGGTGCCCTATCCCTTTGAGCCACAGGTGCCGCCCAAATGGCTGACTAAATTTTGATGGAATATAACAGATGTTTTGATGGACACAGACTGAGAAAAAGCAAAATCAACTTTAAAAAATCTTGTTAAGGATCTTTAAAGGCCATTTCACTAATGCTCCATAATTCACAGCATTAACAGAATTCTCTTTTATAAGAAATCTCATTCCAAAAAAGGAGCTTTACGACCTTGACTTCAAGATGAATTCTGCTGGATAACGTGGATAATGCAAATTGTATTGTACTTGATAGATGATGTCAGACCTTCCTTCATGCACACAGTGTACATGCGCATATACACACAGTTTGTTACTATTAGGAGAAACCAAGGATTCAGAGAAAACTTCAAGTGCTTCTAAAAAGCATTTTCCGTACTACACTGCCCTGCACTCAGACAGGTGGCTGCCCTAGGGAAGGGGCCTCAACAGTTTGGGGGTGAGCCTGTGAGTCAGCCTTAGAGGGGACAGTAAATACAACCAGGGCAAGCACATCTAGAGACGTGCCACAGTTTCATTTAGCAGGAAAAGGAGAGGATGTCTCTTCTGAGCGCTTTTGTTAAGTAAATACAACAAACATTAACTTAATATCGATTTAACATGACACACTTCATAGAAACAAAGAAGCAACAGCATAGACCATGTTGATCTGCACGCAGTGTTTCTCACACAGGATTTAATTTATTCTCAGAGATCTGAGAGTGCTTTCTCTCTACATGTATTTTTTTTGCTCTCTATATTTTTTAAGTGCCATCCTGAACAAAATTAATAAAAACACATTGAATTTGTTTAAATGATTGCATTGGTGTCACGTTAATATTTAATTGTCCAAAGGTGATGAGAAAAGCAGTCTCGGCCTGTAAATGCTGCAACTGCACCATGGAGCAGGCCTATGCGGTCCTGGCTTGCTGCATGATTAAGGTTTAACAGCAGCTGAGAGGAGAAAAGAGAGCCGAGTCATCCAGGCAGACAGGCCGGGGAGCTCAGGGCACCAGCCTGGTAGCCGCAGTCCTGCTCCACAATGCAAGTCGACATGCCTGCCCGTCATATTAAATCTGTGAGATGAATCTGCATTTTACTGACATTAGAGTTTTGTTTGTATTAAATTATAAATTGGGTTTTGATTTTACAATTGTTTAAGTGCTATGTGAATAAAAGGTAAATGCCTCTTTTTGTGCATGTGCATGTTTACATGAAATCATTTTTAAATGATTTTGATTAAAATCCATCCTGTTAATCCTTCAGAACTAGGTTCCTTTAGGAATTCTGGAACATTTTTCTAGTCAGAGAAACATGAATAGAAGAAAAAATTCCAGTCCAGTGAGACCAGGTATGGAATCATGCATATAGAATCCAGGCCTATCTGACTCCCTCTTATGCCTGTGCACCTAATTACTTTGAATTTAGGAATCAAAATTACTAAAACCAAAAGCCAAAACAAAACAGAAAAATACACACAAGATAGCACATTGCAAAGTTAAGTTATACACCCATATACAGTAAGCACCCTGGAGAAATGGGCTTAAAACTGGTGCCAATATTCAGAATTTTCTAATCTTCTCAGAAGAGATTAGTTTACCTTAACCATAAGAGCTTATTCTCAAGGGGAAAGGAAGATCAGGAAGGTGCAGAAGCAAGATAAAGTTCTGAATACTCCAGTGTAAAGTGACTGCAGGAGAAGTGACAACAGACGCCAGAAGCAGCTGTGGCACTCAGAGACCCAGCACACTTCATTTTTTAAGTGTGCACTAGTATTTTGCTTGGTGTGATATCATTATTTCTGACATCAGCAGCAGCTCTGTCCTCGGCTCTCTCTCTCCCACCATCCTCTCCCTGTAACCCCCACCACAAGCTCCCTTGCACTGCTTAAACATCCACCTTCCACCACTCCTGGTCCCTCCCAGCACCCCTCACCTGGTCCTTCCCCACACCCCCGAAGTGAAAAACCCGTTTGGGAAGCAGGCTGGTCTCTCTACTTGAAAAGAAGCTAAACTGAGGGCCAGGACCCCATCCTCTCAGTTGGCTGAGTTAAGGTCAGAAAGAGGATGCCCAGAGTTGGTGGTCTGGAGACAGTCCTGGGGGAACACCGAGGCAGGTGGGAAGATGCTGACCCCTTACACAGCCAAGGTGCCTGCCACTCTTAAGAGGGAAAAGTGGCTCAGCACCTGCAGCTCAGCAGCTAGAGTGCCAGCTACGGACACCAAAGGTGGCAAGTTCAAGCCCAGGCTGGTCCCACCAAACAACAATGACAACTACAACCAGAAAATAGCCAGGGGTTGTGGCGGGCACCTGTAGTCCCAGCTACTTGGGAGGCTGAGGCAACAGAATCGCTTAAACCCAAGAGTTGGAGGTTGCTGTGAGCTGTGACACCACAGCACTCTACTGAGGGTGACATAATGAGACACTGTCTCAAAAAAAAAAAAAAAAGAGGGAAAAGTATTCAAACGAGGCTGCACATCTTCACAGAGGTGTGCTTCCACATCTACACATTTTATTAAGTCTGTTTTTGTATTCATAATACCATAATTTAATTTCAATCATTTTTATTTTCTGAATGCTGAATATTTATTTTTTAATGCTTTTTTTGTTTTTTTGAGACAGAGACTCACTCTCACCTAGGTAGAGTGCTGTAGCATCAGACATCACAGCAGCCCCAAACACCAGGCTTAAACAATCCTCTTGCCTCAGCCTCCAAAGTAGCTTGGACTACAGATGCCCACCACAACGCCCCAGTTAGCTTTTCTATTTTTAGTAGAAACAGGATTTTGCTCTTGCTCAGGCTGGTCTCAAACTCCCAAGCTCAAGCAATCCACCTACCTCAGCCTCCCAGAGCACTAGGATTACAGGTGTGAGCCACTGGGCCTCACCTGAAAGCTGAATATTTTAGAAACTGTGATCATACTGGCATTTGTGTATTATGTGAAATAAATCCAAACAGTTTTGTGCCACTACAGTTCTCTGTAACCTAGAAGAATACATATGAAGGGGTAAGATGATCACCTCCAGACAGGCTGCTTGTCCTGGGCTATACAAGCCTCCAAAATGAATTTCATAAATTTAAAATTAATAAAGCACTGGCGAACCATATTTTAAACGTGACTACCTGAAATGGGGTTATACTGTGACCTGAAGTATATGAAATAGAAGCAATGAATAAGTAAATGGTATAGAACTGAAGAATTAGGAATATCTTTCTTTTTAAAATACCAAGTCAGCATTGCCTGAATGTGGCTGCAAGTGGAGCAGAGGTGTGCACAGACCCCTGGAGTGCTGGGGGGAAGAGCAGCTTCCCCTAATTCCAGTACCTGGAGCCACAACACTGCCCCCATGTGCTGAGCCTCCTGAAATACACACAGCAAGATCTGGAGCTTTCTCTAGCTTTTAATTTTGAAGGATTGGTGCTGTGTCACTGACTTCCTCGCTTGTGCTGCCCTCTATGGGAGCCTAACAAGTCATGCTCCCTATGAGCTACTTGGTTTCCAAACATAAGGAATGATGACAGGTTATTAAACACAATAACTAAGAGGATGCCGTGAAGGCTATGTTAACCAGTTTGATGAAAGTATTTCAAATTGTACACAAAACCAGCACACTGTACCCCACGACTGCATTAATGTACACAGCTGTGATTTAATAAAAACATTTTTAAAAAAAGAAATAAACCACTACTGCCTCTTCACTAAGATGAGCAAAAATCAGCCACGTTAAAATATCCTTCTGCACATATGTTACAGCCCTGTGTAATTTCTTTCTCACTGTTGCCTCCACAGTGAACTAAACACTCTGCAAAGGCAGACTCCATATCCCATGCATGACTCCACACCAGTGACTAGCAGGTAACAGCACACATTAGGGGCCCAAGAACACCTAGGAAAAAACAGTTACTGAGGGCTTCCTATATGCTAAGTGCTCTGCCATGTAAAGGCCTTTCCATGCTCTCTCCCATTTAATTCTCATAATACTGTTCTAATCCTCATTCACACATGGGGATGCTAGGCCTATGGAAACTAAGGAACTTAGCAAAGGCCACAGACAGATGAGACATGAGACTTGAACTCAAGACTTTGGACTGTAGCATGTGCTATGAACAATATGCTCTATAGCCTCAGCCGGCACCAAGCTAAACACATTAACACACACTAAAAATCCATTTACTGTTCATTATTTAAAAATAGTTAAAATAAAAATAATACAGGCTTGGCGCCTGTAGCTGAATGGCTAGGGCACCAGCTGCATACACCAGAGCTGATGGGTTTGAATCCAGCCTGGGCCTGCCAAACAACAATGACAACACCAACCCAAAAAATAGCTGGGCATTGTGGTGGGCGCCTGTAGTCCCAGCTACTCTGGAGACTGAGGCAAGAGAATCGCTTAAGCCCAAGAGTTTGAGGTTGCTGTAAGCTGTGACACCATGGCACTCTACTGAGGGCAACATAGTGAGACTGCCTCCAAAAAATTAAAAATAAATAAATAAAAATAATATATATGAACTGGCTTTAGTATCTTAAGTTAAAATCCAAGATATCATGAAATACAAACGTTACTTTTCACAGCATTGTGTCTTAAAAAAAACTTCCATGGGAATCCCAACAGCTCTAACAATTTCATCTAATTTTCTGCATTTGAACAGTAGCACCTTAATTATTGAAGAGATGAGGATCTATTACTCAAGATCTGATATTTTCTTATTAATCATTAAGAGAAAGGAACTATAAAATACTATAAAAGTTGCTCACTTTAATACCTCCATTCAGAGACTTCAGTAAAATTTTAACACAAATAACTTCTTTTTTAGGGTCAAAAAGAATAGGTTTCTTTTATGCAGCATCAAATCACAGAGAGGCTACATTAAAATTAAGAAGACATGACTTTTATTGTTAATAGAATTGGGAAAACTAACTTCTCAGGCCTCTTTTTTTTTCCTACCTGGAGACAAAGCAGTTGGCCTAAATAGTTCATAGGCTTATCTCATCTCTTAAAATTTTATTATTCACTGAATAAACTATTCACATCTGATGAAACAGAGAAGTTTGTTTTTAAAATTTCGCTTTCTAAATTGAAGGTGAAAGCAGAGTACATTGCTACCTTCCTTGTTAAATTTCCCATGTCATCCCGCTTATTAGGGCATTCTAATTCATTTTTATCAAAAAGTATTTTGTTTTCTTAGGGTAATCATAAACTTTTATTTTAAAATGTAACCACATACCAATTTTTCAAAATTTCTGAGAAAAAGCATTGTGTCTAGCACTGATCATCTACTATTTGACAAAGAAAACGATCTTGTTTGTTTAGTTAAATAAGGTTTGCTTTTGGAGACCACTGCTGACCTTGAAAAACCACATGGAAAACATCCTAATGTTGGTGATGAATCTGCTAAACTGAAAAAGGCTCACCTCAGATGTATCTGCTGCACATGGCTTCTTAAATACAATAACCAAGTTATCATTCTGGTTTTTAACCTAATTCATATTTACTTACACTCCACAGATGGGAGATCGTAAACAGCCTTACATACATCCCAAGCCAGTCTGTAACCATTTCGGGGTGGAATCCAGTCCTGGGATCAGCATGCCTGACATCTGTCAGAGCTGGGTCAGGGATGCCTGACGTATTCACACACATAGTCCTAACCAGAGGTACCCATAGGGTTCAGACGGCTGAATAATAATGAAGGAATAGGCTAGCTGCCAAGACAACAATTGGCAAATAATCCTTTCCTCAATGTCACGGATAAATTAAACTACAGTGGAAATGGTAGCATCCACAAGCCTCATCTAAAGAGCCACTGCTGAACTCCAGCCAACTGGTGCCATATGGAAAGACAGATCATGTTGCCAGATCTTCCAAATTTCAAAAAAAGTTGAACATTCATATTTTTACATCTTGGTTTTTTAATATTGTGACCAAAAACATAAAATTTACCCTCTTAATCATTTTTAAGTGTGTAGTTCAGCAGTGTTAAGTTTGTTCATATTTTTGTACAACGGACCTCCAGAAATTTTTCTTCTTGCAAAACTGACACTCTACTTAATAAGTAACAGCTCTCCATTTCCTCCTGCCTCCCCTCACAACCAGCATTCCACCTTCCACAAATTGACTTCTTTAGATAACCTTCTTCAGATTTTTTAAAATACTGACAACTGATAAAATTTGTCACATTCTAGATCATGACCCATTTGCTACTTTTTAACCTTTATCATTACTTAAAGGACTTCAAAGTTTCAAGACTGCAAAAGCCAGATGGATGAAAAACAGGTGAGACACTAACATCGACGTCAAAGACAAGTTACACGGCCTGGATGTGCTTTCCTTGTCCTGGTTTATACTCTGCAAAAAGACTAAACTTGAGACATGCTTTATATGAATTCTTACCATCCCTGCTTGATGCAAGAACCACATGAGGTAGTCTTCCTGAATGTCCACAAGGCTGGAAATCTCAGGGATGTAGAATGTATCATATTCCACATGCTTCACTTTAAGATTTACCTAATGAAAAACGAAATAGGGACAACTAACAAATGACTTTCTAGTAAACACCTCAACAGTGCACCGCCCCTACCATCAACTCACCCCGTTCCTGCTAGCTCCTCTTATGCTCACCTTATATAACTTCTCCAAGAGCTTGAGAGCGGCTGTAATATAGTTGTTAAACAGTACAGGAATTAAGAATGTCTTTCTTCCCCTCAGTAGATACAGGACTGCACCTTTATAAAGGTTCACTAGCTTCATGAAATACTTCGGGCATACCTGAGACCACCAGTTATCTTTAGAAGGAAAGAAAAGACATATTTCAATATGTAATCTTAAGCAAGTATTTATGTCTTTTGCTTACTAGCTAAAAACTGCTCTGTTTAGAAGATAAAGATTAGTCTAAAATACATTTTCCCAAAACTGACTTTAAAAAGAATCCATTAAAATATTTCTGGAGAGAGCAGCAGCTATACAAGAATCCCTGGAGCTTTTTTTATAAAGCTTGTTTTATTTTTTTCCAAGACTCATTTGGAAGGCTAACCTAAAAGTTCAATTCCAGGGTATATGTGCACAAGATACACATGTTTGGGGCAGGAGTGATGTCCACTGCCTTAGTCCAAAAAGCGTTCATAGGCCCTAGCCCTTTTAGCCACTGCTTAAATCCTGCATCGGGGATGCAAAAATCGACATGCTCTAGAAGCAACACCAAGATGGCAACCATTCCCTTCCCTTTGAGACACATAATTAGTTGAAAAACTACTATTTTTGTTTCTCACCAAACAATGCTTTCTCATAACCGGACAAGAAGATTATACCATTGCCTTCTGCTTTGTCAGAAATAAACTTAGCCATACTGAAATATTCAAAGAATGAAATAATATGTCTGAGATTTCTTTAAAAATAGTCTAGCAAAAAATAAAAAGGTGGTGGCGGAGAGGAACTGATAATATAAACGGGGAAAACGTTGACAATTGTTGAATCTGTGTGGTGAGGACCTGAAGTGCTCTCTCTACATATTCAGGTATTCTTTTAAATTTTGATAATTAGAAATTTAAAGAAAATTAAGTTTAAAGTTGAACAATTTTGACCTCTTCATGTTGTCCAACCTGGAAAAATTAAAATTAAAAAACTCCCAAACTTAAAAGTCAGGTAATATTTCTTCGGAGATTGCCATCTCACCACCTCATGTCTATTAGAACACCTGAGAAATAGCACCCCAAGGGCTTTTGATCTAAAAAAATATATATCTAAGTACTAACATGTTACTAGTCCTTTAATTACTATATATTTCTGTTTTTATCTCTTCTGCAAAGTATTCCACCCTCATGAACTCAGGTCTCTGTACTCACGGGGAGACCACACTCAGGTAACATCCCAGTTCATCTGGAACACAGAAGTTACTGAGTTGCAATGAACACCTAAAAAATTTACCCGGGGTGGGGGGAAAAATGTAAAAAGCCAGGTGATAGACTTTCTGCACTTGATTAATAAAAACATCTCAGGCGCTACTCCCAGGAGAGACACTCTCTAATTCACTGAGGAATGGAAGGTTCTTATCTCAGCAAAGTGCCGGAGCCTGCAAAAATCAGTGTGGACTCAACTGTCCTAAAAAAGAAAAACAAAACAAACATTTGGTAAGTCCCCATTAGGTCATTTTCTCCCTTGCCATTTTTGGAGACCTGCATATCACCAAAACTGTTTACTTCACTCCCACTCGCTCAATTAGGTATAGAAGAAAGAGACAGAGATGGACACTAGATTTTGAGGCACTATTAATTATAAGCAAATGTGGGAGAAAAAATAAAGTTGAATAATCTAACTTTGTGAACACACATATTAGAAAGTCAAGGTTAATCTGGCATAAATCCTTTCCAATAATCTAAACAATGGTTCAATTTGCTCTAATTGCAAGTAGGATTAGCTAGAAATTAACAGCAAAGAAAGAAAGGTTAAAATATGAAGGCCAGTAAATGGCAACAGATCAATTCTTGGATCTCAATCCATGGAGAGCTAGTGGTCACATCAGTGAAATAAATAAGCACAAAACCACTGGTACTGAGTTGAGAAAATTCACCTAATACTTTGCTGGGGTTTGTATCCAGCCGCAGAATGGCCATAGCCAAGGGAATAGTCAACGTTATGTAATACTTGGAATCCTGGAGCAGGGGAAACTCAGGTAATATTAAATAGATTCTCATTGCTTCAACATCTGGTGGTGAACTTGACAATTGGGGGATCAGGCAACTTTCGAAGCTGTTTAAGATCTGTGTGACAGCAAAGAACAAGAGGAATGAGAAATGTAAACATTCCTAAGATCTAGTTAACTCTAAATTCATAAGTTATTTGACAGCCTATCAACTCTGAGTCATTCCCTGTGCACTAAGAACCTCCTATGAGTCAGGCCAGTGCCTAGACCAGGGGTCCTCAAACTTTTTAAATAGGGGGCCAGTTCACTGTCCCTCAGACCATTGAAGGGCTGACTGCGGGCCCTGGAACGAGTTGGCTGCTAAGCAGGACAGGCAGTGGCAGCAAAACACCTGATGCGAGGGTGGTCCCTGTGGCTCAAGGAGTAGGGCGCCAGCCCCATATACCGGCGGTGGTGGGTTCAAACCCAGCCCCGGCCAAAAACTGCAAAAAAAAAAAAAAAACACCCCGCGGGCCAGATAAATGTCCTAGGTGGGCTGCATGTGGCCCGCAGATGGTAGTTTGAGGACGCCTGGCCTAGACTCTCAGAATACACCAACAAGAAGAAAAGCCACAGGTCTCTGCTAACACAAGCCATATACTCCAGAGGGGTTTCCTCTTAGGAAAATTTAAGCCACAAAGAAAGCAAAAGGTAGGTCACGTTCCCAAAGTGAACATTTTACGTAGTTAAGATCTGTATAAGACTTCTGCTTTTTCATCTTACTTTCTCTTTCTTTTGTAATTATTCAAAGCAAAAATGCACTTTTTTAAATGTACTTTGTAAACATAGGGAACATACCTGTTCTAGAATCATGGAGTGCTGAGAGTTCATTAACTTCTCAAATAACACCCTAGTTGAGTTCAGGTCAATCCCAGGGATTTTGGGACTTGTTTTAAAATGTTCATCAATTCTAAACAAATAAAACCAAAAAGTATGTAATAAAAGAAAAACAAAGCAAACACTCCAATGGAAATTAGAAACACTGAAACAAGATAGTTCGTCCTTAAGTTCAGATTTAAATTTGACCTTGAAGACAACCAATACTACATTTTGGGGAAGCCCGGCAGAATAAACCTCACTGGAATCCCTTTTTCAAGATGATTTTAAATTTTCACTTTTTTTCCCTTCAAGCTAAAGTATCCAAATTACTTCAAATTGAGGCTACCTTAAGGTTTATAAGCAGAGCGTCATCTACCTGATTTATTGTGTTTTTTGCCTTTTTCTGTCATTGTGGCACAATGACCTAGATATAGATACAAAAAACATTCCCTGTGCAAAATGGCCCACTTATCAGCAAATGGCAAGTAGAACTTCCTTGTTGAAAGCCTTTCTTAAAGTATTTAATACAAAAATTAGATCTTCTACAACAAATGCAAAGTTAACCTCTGTCTTAGTTAATACAAAGGATACAAATTACCTTTACCCAAGGACTGATTTCCTGTTAGTTAATATACTGTTTTTAATTTTTTTAGCATCTAAATCATTTTTTGACCTTAAATTAAGTCTTAGCCTTTTACAGCCTTAGAGAACATCTCTTTTAAATTCCCACTCTTGAAACTCCAAAATATGTTCACATCTATTAGTTTACAAAAGAGCTACCTATTTACAAAACAGGCTGTTTATGAGTAATGGCCACATATGGACAATTTTAACATCTTCAGACAGCAATGTTATAATTTATGAAAACATGGAGTTTCTAACAATAAAAAAAATCATAATTACATAGTACATTTATTAGAACCCAAATGGTCAAATGAAGCGGAGTTGCTTATACTTTGTTGGGTCTTTTGTTATTGTTATTGTTCTAAAAATAAATCTTCCCACTACATAGAAATGAATTCTGGTTTTCCATATGTAACCCTCCACACGCTTCTTTCTATGCTATTAATAAAAAATGCACATTTATCTATACGTGTTTATTGTTTTGTAAAACCGGTTTTCATTTTGATTAGTTTCCTATGATACCTCTTATATAAGCTGGAGGAGTAGACCCAAATAGCACAGTTTAAAAAAATGCTTTACCGGCTCAGCGCCTGTAGCTCAAGGAGCTAAGGTGCCAGCCACATACACCTAAGGTGGTGGGTTCGAATCCAGCCCAGGCCCGCCAAAAACAACAAAGACGGCTGCAACCAAAAAAAAAAATAGCTGGGCATTGTGACAGGTGCCTATAGTCCCAGCTACTTGAGAGGCTGAGGCAGGAGACTCGCTTGAGCCCAGGAGTTGGAGGCTGCTGTGAGCTGTGATGCCACAGTACTCTACCCAGGGGGATAGCTTGAGGCTCTGTCTCAGAAAAAAAAAAAATGCTTTACCTACATTCTATGGAATCCATGGTACTAAGGATGAACAACCAAACAAGCCTGGCCAAATCCATTTCCAACCTTCATAACTGCAGTCCTTCTGGAGCAGAATTTCTCAACCTTGATGCTATTGACTTTGTTAGGCAGGTGGGACCGTGGGGTGTTTATCAGCACCTCAGGCCTCTGCCTACTGGATGCCAGTAGTATACCCTCCTCAGGGTAACAACCAGATAGGTCGCCAGACATTGCCAAATGTCCTTTGAGGAGCAAAATGACCCTGGTTGACAACCAATGTTCTAGAAGACCGACATCAGCTAATCAGTAAATTCATTTATCTTCCCCAGAGGAAAAAGCTAATTACTAAATATGAAATGAATTGAGTTCATTCCAGCTTTCTTAAAGATACAAATAAATGACTTTGTAATCTCTAATAGTAACTGAACAGAGTTTCCGAAGTGACCATTGCAACCCAACTAGGGGCACATTTCAGGGAAGCGTGTGATAGTGAATTTTTTTCTTTTTTTTTTTTTGAGACAGAGTCTCACTATGTCACCCTCAGTAGAGTGCTGTGGCATCACAGCTCACAGCAAACTCTTGGGCTTAAGCGATTCTCTTGCCTTGGCCTCCCAAGTAGCTGGGACAATAGGTGCCTGCCACAATGCCCCGCTATTTCTTTGGTTGCAGCTGTCATTGCTGATTAGCAGGCCTGAGCCAGGCTCGAACCCACTAGCCTCAGTGTATGTAGCTGGCACCCTACTCACTGAGCTATGGGCGCTGAGCCATGTGATAGTAAATTTTAATTGTTAGCTGGACTGGATTAAGATACCCAAATAACTTATCAAGCACTATTTGTTGGTATGTGTTTGAGAGTTTTCTGGAAGTGGTTAGCATTTCAATTGGTGGACTATGGAAGTTCTGCCCTCATCCAATGTGGGTAGGCACCATCCAATCAGCTTAAGGACCCATACAATAGCAGAGGAAAGGTGAATTGTCTCTCCCTCTTTTCTAGAGCTGGTATACTCTTCTCCTACCCCTGTATATCAGAATTCCAGGTTCTCTGGCCTTTGGGCTCCAAGGCTTGCACCAGTGGCCCTCCTGGTCCTCAGGCCTTCAGCCTCAGACTGAGATTACACCACCTGCAATAAGAATAAGCCCCCTGATTCTTAGATCTTGGGACCTGGACTTTGCCATGCTACCAGCTTCCCTGGTTTTCCAGCGTGCAGATGGCCTATTGCAGGAACTCTCAGCCTCCACAATCAAGTGAGCCAATTCCCATGAAAATCTGCTCTCCTTCCCTGTGTGTACATTATGTGTGTGCATATGAGACTGGACAATTAAGTTTGCAAACTCATCTAGAAAAACTGCTACATGCCTCACTGCTAAACATCTCTATGGTCACCTTCAAGCTACTCCCCTGGGGAAGCTCTGCATCAGTACCAGCACCTAGCCCACCCTTCAAAGCAATTTTGGAACTTTTTTCCAGGAATAGCCATCAGAGCTGTCATCATAAGAGGTCGGACAATTAAGTTCACAAACTCATTCTAGAGAAAGTGGTACGTATCTCAGTCACTATGGTCACCACATGGCCACAGGGGAGTCCTTTGCAGGTGATCATAGTGATATTCAGGAATGTGAGGTCTGCAGCACTTTTTCTATGTGTATGAATAGGTATATACATGAGTTCACATTACATTCATGAACTCATCCTAGAAAAAGTACTGCATACCTGACATTGCTGGATATCACTACGATCACCTCATGAATATTGATGACTATACATATAAAACTCATGTACATGCATATTCTATTTGTTCTATTTTTCTAAAGACCCTCACTAACACAGGGATCAAGGCGTGAGGGGAGGATTCACACACAAAACTAAATTCATCTTGAGATCTCATCAGCCTTGTCCCAGGCAGAAAAAGTGAGAGATGATCAGGACTTGAGATCACCTAAGATCCAAATCCACGACAAGACCTTTCTGCTACAGCAAGTTCCTGAGGAAGATAATTGTAGAAAGGATAAGGCCCAGCTAAGAAACATTCTGTTTACCACCCGGGAGTTCAGCCTCAAAGATAACTTCCTGATGAGGTGGGCGGGACCTGTTCCGAGGAGCTCCTAGAGCCTCTTTGGAACTTCTCCCTAAGTTCACTCCTTTTGAGAAAAGAAGAAACAATGGGAAAGTAATCAAACAAACCAAAAGATTATTTAAAGCATTATAAGTTTAAGAACAAATACACATGATGGGTATAACATTTTAGAATACCCCAAAAGTCACTCTGATTACACCGATCCTTTCTGAGATATAGTCGCTGTCTTTGGCAATCTGCTCCTCTGCCAGCCATTTCATTGTTTGAATATCACTATCGTCACCTTCAAAGTACTCCCCTTGGCCACCAGGTGACCATAATGATATTCAGCAATAAGGTATATAGCACTTTTTCTAGGATGAGTTCATGAACTTAACTGCCTGACCCCACACCATCTCAAACTTCTGGTCTTAAGTGATCCTCCTGTCTCAGGTCCTGAGTTGCTAAGGCTACAGGCACACATGTGGGTTTTTTAAGTCTCCAAGTCACTTACTTTTTTTCAAGAAAACTTCCATTCCAACAGGCTGCAGAAGATAATATCTGAACAACACCACTGCTCAAAAAAAAAAAAAAAAAAAAAGGAGGGAGGGAAGCCTTTAATAATTACAAATAAATGGTTATGTAAGCAGCAGCAATAGATTAGTCGTCATCTATTCCAGGACCTCATTAATAGCAGCTCTTTCTTACCCAAATGAAGCTTTAGAAAACATACATTTTCCGTTGCCCTGTTAATGTTCCTGAATATTCCTCTACTACCAACCATCTAAGACATTCCCAACCTCACCTTCAAACATAACACAGAATAAAACCAAAAAAGAGATGCTGAGCTATTAGTTCCCAGACACAGAAATTATCTTTGCAAATTAATAACTAAATAACCACTTCCTTCCCTTTTGTTGGCCATCTGAGAAAGAAACTAAAATTAAGTAAAATGAGTGCTTATTCCTATTACCTAGATCATACAGACTATGGGACATGATTCAAAGTAAAATTACACATCAGGGACACTGTTATTTAATATAAGGAAAAGGAAAGGAAAAAAATACAAGGCTAGGGAGAGAATTACATTAACGTCTATTAATCATGCAATTTGGATCAGGAAAGATCTTTAGAGCCCATTTCTTCCATCTTTTCATTTTATAAATAACAAAGGTAAAGTGTCTACAGTTAGTTCCCCTTGCTGGCCCCTAAGCTAGCCCTGTTCCCCTTTTCCCTGCAACCCTCCTAGCCTGAACTCCTTGGCACAGCCACCTAAGGTCAGAGGGATTCCAAGGACTGGCATGGAACTACTCCAGGGCATTCCTGATGATCCCTTGATCAAAAAGTACTGCTGGAAGTACCTCAAAGTTTAGGGTCTTGGTCGTTTGCCCCATTACAACTATGCCACGAAGCAGGAACTATTATGCACATTTCTGGGAAGGACCACTGCTTAGTACACGGAGCTTGATTTAGTCATTTGCAAGAATTAAACTCTTCCGAAAAAAGTAGAATGCTGAGTAAAGCCAATGAAAATGTGTAAAAATGTGCAAAATTCTTAAGAATAACTGTGATAAGGTGGCACCTGTGGCTCAAAGGAGTAGGGTGCCAGTCCCATATACTGGAGGTGGCAGGTTCAAACCTGGCCCCAACCAAAAAAAAAAAAAGAATAACCGATAAAAGATCTCAATCATATTTACAGTATTTTCTTTTCCTCTACATGAATGTAAATTACCACTTCAATCACTTTGAATGGGAAAATGTTAGAAATTATTCTGAAAAGGTAATAGCCACCTTGGATTTAGGATGCTTTGGAGCATGCGTATGAAGAAATCTATTAGGGTTACACAACAGTGACACTGCCCTCTCTTAGCAGAAAGTTCAACTGGGGCTTCCGTCAGTCAGGATCTTTAAGGCCTTACACTGCACAAGACAGGTTGAGTAATACACTGTCTAAGACTTAGGAACAATGCCATTTGGGGCTAAGTGGATCAACTTTGAAATAGTTGAACACTAGGGTTCCCTAAAATGTATTCAAAACATCCATATAGAAGTAAGGAAAATCACTAGGTTAGAAAGTTCCAACTACTTTGGGAAAAATAAACAAAGACAAGCAACCACGTACTTGATTGTATTCGCGTTGTTGTGTTCTGAGAGTTTTTGCCTCCAGACTGCTATGGTTTCATCATTGATTAAACTGGTATAATGTGCTTGGTTCATAGTCCTGAAGTCAACAGCAGGAGAATAATTCTGGAGAATTAAATATAACAGTAAAAAAGGTAAATTATGTAGTATGGCTCTTTTCTCCTCTCCCTGCCCCCCCTTCTCCATTTTGTGTTCCATTTATGAAAAATGCTGTGGAGTGATGCCCAGATCCCTCCCGCACCTCAGAATGGAGCCACTCATTCCTCCAGCTGCCGGATGATGTAGGCTCCTGACAACTCAGCTGGGCTGCTGTCCAGTGCTTACCCATGGCTACTGCTTCCCCTCTCGCGTCCAGTGGCTGGTCCAGGTCTGGTACACAGGCCCAAGCCCCTGAAAGGCCATCCCAACCTCAGAGCTCCCCAGGGTGCTGTCTGAGGCTCTCTCACAAATGATTTATACTTCAACGTCCCCTCTGCTCAGTCTCGCCTCACTAATCCTTCAGTAGATGTTCTTTCAGAGAAACCAACTCGACATGACTGTTTCAGATTTCTTTCTCCTTTGCTTTCAAACATCGTAATATCAAGGTTTTTAAGGTATTTATTTGCAATAATTGTTCACCAAACCGCAACAAAAATGTACTAAAAAAGAGTCAGAGTTTAGCTATGAGCTATATTACAAATAACCTATGAAAACTTAATGCCTTTTAATTTCTTACTTCACGTATATAGCTAGTAATCTGAAAGAAACATGCCAAAAAGGACATCAATAATGGCTTTGAAAATTCAAATGCTGCCCAGCACTATGTATCCTCTATTCAGTAAGATTTAAAAAACAACATAAGCACTTTCATTTTCAAAAAATGGCTTTCTTTAACGCATTTTACCTAAATCTTGTTCTTGATCTAGAACTAAGAAAAAGTTGACAGTGCTTTATACTTCTCATCAAAGAGGAAAAACATAGTATTAAAGCATTCATCTACCAACTCATAAGATGATCGGTTTTTTCTTCCTTTTTACCTACATATAAAAACACAACTTTCAAAGTAAATTGTCTTGGTTACTTCCCCATAGCTGTAATTTGTGACATCATTACAGAGAGAAAGTGAGCATGTAATAAGTCAGAAGTGTTTGACAAAGTTTCTGATCATCTGGGTTTTTTTTTTTTTTTTTTTTTTGCAGTTTTTGGCCAAGCCAGATTTGAACCTGCCACCTCTGGTATATGGGGCCAGTGCCCTACTCCTTTGAGTCACAGGCACCACCAATCATCTGGTTCTTGATAACTCTTCTACTAAAATGCTCACAGACATCAATTAAGAGAATAAAAATCACTATGAATTACATAGAGGGAACTTGTAAACCAAATGGACACTTGAGCGCATAAAGGTTGCCTCTTTCCACCTTCCCTTTCAAACCACTACTGTTATGTAAATTTTAATTATTTCCCCCCATTCAAATGGACCACTGAGCATCAATTCTAACACAAACTTACAATAAAATGTAGACTTGGACCCAAGTGGAAACCTACAGCTTCAAGCCACTTGTGGCCTTTTAGGTCCTTAAGTGTGGCCTTTTGACTAAATCCAAATTTTACAGAGCAAATCCTTTTATCTTTGTTAATACAGGCAGGAAATAAGATGGGTTCTGTAAGTTGGTTCTTAAGTTGAATTTGCATGTAACCTGGAACAGGTACATACACCCATGATCTGTAATAGCCTCCATTCCTAACTGCAAGTTGATTTGTATTTCAAATACCAAAGAATAAAATCAATTTCAGTGAAAATAATCTTCCCAGATTGATAGGCACAATTAGAACATTAGTAAACCATAGGGGCTAAATTGACAGCTACATTAAGCTTGAGATTTAGTTCTAACTTCTCCCACCTCATGCCACTACCCCACGAGCCTGGCTGGTGAGAACTTATGAGAGTTGAGTACGACAGTCCATCCATCATCAGCTTTTGACAACGGAGCACTGTTTCTGTTTGAAGTGGTATTTGTGAATAGTTGCACAGCTCAACCATATTTTTTAATTGTCTATTTAATAGCCCATCATGTCAAGAAAGACCAAGAGAACACAAAAGAAAGAAAATGGATTTTTTTTTTTTTCTGAGGCAGAGTCTTACTCTGTTGTCCCAGGCTAGAGTGCCGTAGTGTCAGCCTAGCTTACAGCAGCCTTAAACTCCTGAGTAGCTGGAACTGCAAGCGTGAGCCCACAATAACAGGCTAATTTTTCTCCTTTATGGAGAGATGGGGTCTTGCTCTTGTTCAAGCTGGTCTCAAACTCCTGAGTTCAAGGGATCCTCCACCTTGGCCTCCCAGTGTGCTAGGATTACCACAGGGGTGAGCCACTGAGCCCAGCAGGAAACCAGATGTTTTAATGAGGATTGGGAATAGCAATATTACCTTGTTTCTGCTAAAGAGAAGGTGATTTGCTTGGTTTGTGATACTGAAATATCAACATCAAAGAAATCCAATGCTCATCAGCACTGTAACGCTCTAAGGACCACAAATATTTTAAATTAGAGGGGTGGGAAAGGCTGTACTGCAGAAATTAAAAGATGAAAAGCAAAGCAAAGACAATTCTTTCAAGCAGAAATAAGACCTGGAAATAATGCCACTGAAGCAACTTATAAGATACCCTATATAATTGGGAAAAAAGAGAAGCCATTCAGGGATGTAGAAATCGGGAGAGAATGCATCATCCAAGCTGTAGAATGATTACAGACTTCAATAACGTCTCATAGTACAAAAACTGCCTCTTTCAAAGAGAACCATAACTAATGAGCACCATGAATGAGCCTTCCAACCTAACAGAATAACTTCATGTAATACTTCAAAAGGAAAATGCGTATTATCCAACTGCTTTGGATGAATCAACTGATACTACTGACTCGGTGCAGGCTTTACACCTCATTAAGGTCAGAATGAGATTGTCTTTGCTATGAAGAGTTATTCTCTTCGGGCACTCTGTGAACAGAACAAAGGAATAGATGTCTTCAACAACTTTCAACATAAATGTGAAATTGGACTGAATATGGTAAATTTAGTTGAGTGTATGTACAGACATTACACTTTCCATGACAGGAAAACATGAAGGGTTTATTACATAGATTTTAAACAGGTATTTTTTGTTGTATCTCGCATCAGCAAAATCTCCATGCTAATGCCATTTTACCCGACACTTTGCAACATGTATTGCTAACTACATTCCTGCAAATGCAGCACGGCATGGTCAGTTTCTTAGCATGCTAAAGTAGAAAGATGAGGTATTCAGAGTGGATTTGCAATATCATTCTGAAGTGTGCTGGCTATCACAGGGACAGCTGTTAGCCAAAATTGTATCACTATAAGAATAGATAGTTAAACTTTATGAAGAACAGAATCAGAGATGTGAATTATTGAAAAAAGATTTCTCTGGGAATGCAGCATTTCTGTGTGATATGTCAAATCAAAATGACTTGAATAGTTCTTTGCAAGGCAAAACAAGCAAATAGAAGATATGTGACCCCAAAAATCCAAGCATTTCAAAAAAAGTTATCTTTTTCTGAAACATTTCTTCAAAAGGAAATTTCAGATGAGCATTTTCTCCAGTTGGCAAAGGTCACTGATGAGCAGGAGAATGTAAATGAATCATTTGAACAATATGAAGCTGTAACAGATGAATTAATTGGAGAATTCAATGAATGTAACTTTGAGAATCATGACGTCACACTCACGTTAGCTTTTCAGCATCACTTAGCTGGTATCACCAAGGCACCTAAAGAACTACAGGTGGAACTGATTGAACTCTCAGGAGCGAGCATTTTAAAGTCATCGTTTGATGCTATGAAAGATCCAGATGAAATATGGAAAAATGCAATAGAATATGCATACCTTCAGCAACACGCCCCCCAAAATTCTTGCTTTCTTGCTTTTCAACCTCGTATTGCTATGAATCTGCATTCTCCTACCTAACGCAAATCAAGATGCCCGTAATGTCACAAATGACTGATATCCACCTCGGGGATCAACTAAAACTATGGACCTCCATGCTGCAACCAAATACCCAAAAGCTTTCCAACAGAAAGCAGACACAAAATCTTTAAAAGGTTTACTTTAAAATTAACAAATAATTTTCATTTTTCTGAAATTATTAACTATATAGTAATTAGATGTTTACAGAACAATGTACATTTTTAAGTGTAGTTGAAGTTTCTTGAAGGTGGCTTTATTGGATTACAGTTAAATTAATGCAGCCTTCCCATATGAAAGGGTTGCCCACCCCTGGACTTGGTGCGATTTTCTCATTGCAGATACCTTGGGTGAAGTATAATCTCAGCACCATTAAAAAACCAAGAAATCATTTTTCCATGCCTTACTGTATACAGGCCAGAAAGAAAAAACTGCTTAGGTCATGTTTTTCAACTTCAGCTGGATTTTGAATCACCAGGGGAGCTTTCAAAAATCCTGATCGCCAGGTCACACTCCAGACTAATTAAATCAGAATCTTGAGGCATCTGTATTTTTTTAAAGCACCCAGATGATTCCAGTGAGCAGGCAACGTTAAGAATCATTGTTTTAGGAAAAAAAGAATGATGTCACATCGTGGACTTTTTGAGACAGACAGACACGCACAATTCTAACAATCCCATTCACATTTCCTTTTCAGTTCTATCCAAGGAACAAAATGAAAGGCAAAGGAGAGGCTATGGTTTCCATTCACTAAATTCCCAAGCCTAGAATCAAATGTCTCCGAGTTAAACTCCTCCCCTCCCTCTTCCACAGGCAAGCCTGGTAATAATGAATGAGTCAGCATTTTATGGAAATGAGGCTGTGAATACACAGGTGCTTTCCCTTGGTTCCTTAAGTGGCAGGGCAACAGTAAGCACTGATTTGACTGGTCCTTGTATCTAAACTCTAAGCAAATATCTGTGGTTAACAGTTCAAGTAAATATGAAGACTTCAGTTTTAAAAAGAGCAATACTTTTGGGCAGCACCTGTGGCTCAAGGAGTAGGGTGCCAGCCCCACGTTTGGGAGGTGATGGGTTGAAACCCGGCCTCAGCCAAAAAACAAAGAGCAATACTTTTCTACTTTTCTAAGTAATATTACATTTTTAGCTCTTTGTTTTTCGATATTTTTCATGCACATCTCTCTGACCGGTTGTTTAACTGTCCTTCTGTGCCACTTCACTTCCTCCTCACTGAGGGGCTGTTCTCCAGGCCCAACAGCGTTACATACAATGAATTTAAAATTCAGCTACATCTATCAGGTACTGTGATTATAAAATAAAGGAAACAGGGGTGGCGCCTGTGGCTCAGGGGGTAGGGCGCTGGCCCCATATACTGAGGATGGCAGGTGCAAGTCTGGCCCTGGCCAAACTGCAACAACAAAAAAAATTGCCAGGGGTTGTGGCGGGCGCCTGTAGTCCCAGCTACTCTGGAGGCTGAGGCAAGAGAATTGCCTAAGCCCAAGAGCTGGAGGTTGCGGTCAGCGGTGATGCCACAACACTCTACTGAGGGTGATAAGGTGAGACTCTGTGTCTAAAAAATTAAAAAAATTAAAAAAAATAAAGGAAACAAAATTTTGTGTTCAATTGCACAGGAAATTCAACATAATTGGATGATATTATGTGAGTCAGTTTCTTAAGGAAATGAATACTTAAAACCCTACTACTTGCAGACAGAAAGTTATTATCCTACAGAAACTCAGTGCTTTTCATATTTCACTTTATTGGCAACTTGAAAAAGTAGCTTCCCTCAGATCTCTGTGACCTCTGAAGCTGGGTCTGGAATAGTCTAAGGCAGCAGCTGCAAGTCACCGCAGGTGGCAGCACTGCACTGCTATCTTCAGGCACCGGGCCTGGCAGACAGCTCCTGGTCAGTTTCCGCTGTCCAACCTGCAGCCTGGCCTTCACCAGTACCTTTTCTGCCAGAATCACAGAATTGTAGCCACTAGCGGACAAGAACTCTGTGTGTGTAAAGATGGTAAAGCATCAGACTCATGGGGAGAGTTTCTAGGACTGCCAGGGCCCTTGTTTCCACAGTTTCTCATTTTCTTCCCAACCCATTCTGATCCCTTTATCATCCAGAAGGCAGTAAGGATCAAAGCACCATAGGTAGCTGGACCTCACGCCAGCAGGAATGCTGGGGAAGGGGAAGAGAAGTGCAGAACAGGGGGGCGTGGCGGCTGAAAACAAATCTGGGGAGATTTCTTCAGGCTGGTTTCCCCCAACCAGGAAGAATGGAATGAATTCAAGCCCTATCACAGATACCTAGATCTATGCTCTCCCTTAAATTGGAAAGACACTGCAACATTGTTCTTTCTGGCTTGTCCACTACTGTAACGCAGGAGACGACAGGAGGGAAATTTTGGTGTGATGTCATAAGCAGGTTATAATAAAAGATATCTGAAAATTGTGATATCTCTTTTATACATATCATACATTCAATCACATCAAAGAAACCCACCAAGTTCCCAACTACTTAAGCTACTTTTAACAGGGAAGGAGAGAAATGAACAGTCCAGTAACACCAAAGTAAACACAAACTCCCAGGCTTCCCTAAATTTCTTTTGGAACAAAGATGGATATAAATGAATAATTTTAAAGTATGAATTAGAACTCTATAATACCAGGAAAATTACTGGCACTTCATGGGAGAACAATGGAGATAAATACTTCCAGATTCAGTTTCCTTATTTTAATAAGATAAAACTGGTAGAAACAAAGAGTAGCACTGGTATCATACAATTATTTATTAAAAGAAAAACTGCTTCACCATTATTCCACCCCCGAAGTAATAGTCAAGAAAATTTTACCTCATATTTGGAGCAAAGTACAAAAGTTTGGTCTCCTCCAGAGAAGATCTGCTTAACAATATGATATTTAAAGCGATCTGTCAAAAAATTCCAACAACACAGTTTCAATAATTGAAGTTTCTCTTTGATTCTCTTTTCTAATATTCTAAAATATATTTCAGAGTAGTTTCTTACCCATTTTAATTATGTCCAAGAAATGGGAAACCTTCTCTCCAGGCTGTCTGCCCAGGACTGTTTCTACTTTCCATTAAACAAAAATTTACAGAATGCTATCCTCCACTCTGCGTCCACCTCTACTCCCTCCCTACCGCCAGCTAATCCTGACCTCGTTTCTATTTTTCATACCATAATAACTCTGTCATGCCATTGACCTGAAATAAAAAACAAGCACTATTCAGAAACGGTACCATGGCTGACAAATAACTCCACATCTCAGTGCAGTGGGCCCTGGGCCCTTCAGGAGCAGCTTTGCAGTCTGAGGATCTTGCGTCCTGCTCCTTGCTTTACCTCCCATCACACCGTGTCCACGCTGACACTCTCAAGCCACTAAATTGCCTTTTTCTCTTGTTTAAAGAGACGGGGTCTTGCTATGTTTCCCAGGCTGGACTCGAACTCCTTGGCTCAAGTCATCCTCACACCTTGGCCTCCCAAGTGTCTGGGGCCACAGGTGTGCACCACCACACCAGGCTCCTAAGTGCCTTTATTTCTAATAGGCCGTGCTATTCTTTATCTCTGTGCCTCTCCCTTCTCCCACACCCTGTATTCTCCACAAATGGCACTTCTTAGAGCATGATTTGAATGACGCTCCCAGAATCATGCTCCTCTGTGCCACCCACCACTACCCACTCCCTCTCAGCCCTCTACATGGCTAACTCCAACTCCCCCGTCAGCACACTCAAATTCCCTCTAACTGGAATACTCCTCGATGCCTTCCTCTGTGTTCCCATATTACCATGAAGGTTCCTAAAACCACAGCATGTACATAATAAATTGTCATTTACCTACTCATGTTATAAAATCATTTTGGCAAATAACCAAGCACAGATGTAGGACCACATAAGTCAGGTTATAATTCAACATCAAACATTTGTGACTTCAGACCAATCATGGTTGCTCAGGCCTGTAGTCATAGCACTTTGGGAGGCCAAGACTGGGGGATTGCTTGAGGCCAGAAGTTTAAGACTGGCCTGGGCAACATAGTGACACCCCCATCTCTACAAAACATAAGAAGAATTAGCCAGCATGATGGTGCTACTCAGAAGACTGAAGTAGGATTATCACTTGTGCCCAGTAGATTGAGGCTGCAGTGAGCTATGATCACATCCCTGAGCTCCAGCCCGGGTGATAGAGCAAGACCTCATCTCCAAAAAACAAAAACTTGTGGTTTCAAATTGACCTACAAAACACTTGAGTTTCTTAAATTGGTGTTTTTCTTAAACACATGTATTCCACCTGTGAGTACAAAGCCCTGGAGAAAAGAAAATTTGCAAATGACAGATAAGAGAACAGCAAGCTCTTCTTTTGCTTTTGGGAACATCACCAAAACAAAATCTTGTTTATTTTCTATTTTAAGTGCCACGACATTTTCTGATACTCATATACTCACCCATTAATATTTACTGAGTGACATGTTCATGCCAGGTCCTGTGCTATATGCTAGGTTTGCAAAGAGGAAGAGTGCATCCCTGAAGTTTCTTATAATCCACTAGGGAACCTATAATTGTTAGTTTAAAAAAAAAAAATCCTAATCAAGCTGTAAGTGTGTCACCTCACAGATTTTTAAATCAAAATTAATTATTAAACTATACTTCTTTTTAATGACGCTCTAGTTCCATTTCAGCCTCTAGATTTATTATCCCAAGATGAGGCAGTTGCTCAACAGTAACCACTAACCTACTCCGATTTCCAATGGGATAAATATTTGGAAATTTAACTTTTAAGAGAAGGAAAAAATGGCGTAAAAAGAAATGACATGACGTTATGAACAAAATACCAACAGCAAAGTAGAGGTGACAAAGTACACAGGCTTCAGAATGAGCCAGACTGGGTTCCCATCCTGCCACCAGAATCTGTGTGATCTTGGGCAAGTTACTTAATGTCTAAAACTCAATTCCCTCATCTTTAACATGGAGATAACAGCCCCTCGTTCTTAGGTGGTTTTGAGTGCTTAGCCTTGTAATGAAACTTGGTTAAGGATTCAGTCAATGTCAACTATCGTTATTAGCAATAATAATAAAATTATACACCTACCACCACTAAGGTCCTTGGGGACAAACAACATCTTATACTTACTTACTCTCTAGGATCTCAACTACAGGGCTTCACACACATTAAATACTCAAACATTTGTTGAAGGATGTTTACAAATGTCCTCACATTCATTCCCTCTGCACGACTTCAAGGTAAATAACAGACACTGATATGGTTTGGATGCTTGGCCCCTCCAAATCTTATGTTGAAGTTTGATCCTGGGACTGAATGTGGAGCCCCGTGGGAGGATGTCTGGGTCATGGGGCAGATTCCTCATGAATGGCTTGTGCCCTCCCCACGATAATGAGTTCTATGAGTGCCCTAGAGAGCTGGTCCTTTAAAGGGGCCTGGCACCACCTCCTCTCTGTCTTGCTCCCTTCTCACACGTGACACACCTGCTCTCCCTTCACCTCTGCCTCATCAGAAACCCCCTAAAGCCCCCGCCAGAAGCAGATGCTGGTGCTATGCTTCTTACACAGTCTGCAGAACTGTGGCCCAGACAGATCTCTTTTCTTTATAAATTACCCAGCCTCAGGCATTTCTTTACACCAGCACAAAAGAAACTGAGACGCCTATTCTATAAACAATTGTTTTCATCATTTAAACTAAAATTAAATTCCTATAAAGATTACTCTTACCAGGTCGGGCTGAAAGCTGGCCACTGTGAGCAGCCCAGTAACCCTTGACAGGAGATGGGCACTTAACATTACAAGTGTGTCCAGTTCCGAGTTGACCTCTTGCTCCACAACCAAATGCATAGATGAGTCCAGAAGAAGGCACAAAAGCTAGGGTGTGTTGTCTGTGGAAAAATAATTCAAATGAACTCATCAGCATAGTTTCTACTGCTGTGAAAATACACTCAGACCCTGACTCTACCTTCCACGTCTGCCCCCACAGGGCCTCCTCCATCTCAATACACGACTTTTTACAGTGGCAGCTCTCCACAACACTATCCCTTCTCTGACACTCTAGGTCTTGGGGAGGATGGCAAGTCATAGAAAGAGATGAATGATCTGCATTTGGCTTTTGGGATAAATGGGAAGAAGCATGGTAGACTCAGGCAAAATTTCCAAGAAGTTCTTTGGGATTCTCTCACTTTCTTTTCTTCATCTCACCCCCACATCCTGACACTCTAGTCCCAATGAAGCCTAACGTCTCTGTTGTTCTGCTCTAAAACCTTTCAACACCCTATTCATATCTTTCTCCAAATTTCACCATCAGAATGCATGCAATTAAGATGTCTTAATCCTAGCACTCTGGGAGGCCAAGGCAGAAGGATCACTTGAGCTCAGGAGTTCCAGAACAGCCTTGTCTCTACTAAAAGTGGAAAAATCAGCTGTGTGTTGTGACAGTCCTAGCCATTTGGGAGACTAAGGCAAGAGGATTGCTTGAGCCCAAGAGTTGGAGGCTGCTGTAAGCTACAATGATGTCACAGCACTCTACACAGGGCAACAGAATGAGATTCTGTCTTAAAGAAAAAAAAAAGACAGTAGCTAGGTGTGATCACATTCTCCATCACTACAAAGACAAGATCCATTTCTGGGTTGTAGTTGACACCAGGACGCTCTGAGGAGCTCTCACCTCCCACAAGCAATCTGAGTTACTTCACTACCCATCAGCTCTAGAACTCTTCTTGGGTTAACTTCATCATTCATGGAGTCATGTCCAAGCTGCCCACAGGAACCAGCACCAAAAGTAAACACACCACCATTCTAACAAGGAACAAACACAATATGACTTTATCTCTTGAGGATATTCCTCTAAAATGTGTATTCAAAATTCCTATCAAAATGGCTTACACAAGAACATACTCATTTGATACTCAGCCAAAATCACTTCTTTAGTACATCCATTAAGTAGAAAAATAATAAAAAGGGATCTCAAGACTACATCCTTAGGGAACAGAGATAGCTCTGCTCACAGGAATGTGCGCTATCTGTAAATTTTAAAAATCATTTAAAAGTACAATGATGTGTTGGACAAAATTAAAAAATGAGAAACAAGGACTTAGGTGAAATGAGATGATTTTACATGATCACTCACATGTAAGAAATTAAGTAAGCACTCCATAAACTCCTCAGAAGTCAGATTTTTACTAGCTGTATTTGAACAAATGCTAACTCATTTTTTAAAGTAAACTTAGAATAGTATTTGCTCAGTATGAAAATAAGTTTTCATTCTAATAAAACTATTAAGAAGCCAAAAAAAGTTGATAATTTTAAAACATTAATTAAATTGCTACTTCTTTCTGTATGTATTTAAATGACTTTAAGGAACATAGGTTTTGTTTTTATATATATTCTGTACTATATTTTAAAGTTACTTATACTCAACTGTTTTTACTATGTTAGTAAGAGAACCTATAAGTTTACCAAAAAGGAATACACAGACATAAAAAAATCCAGTCTTTTTTTATGCCTTTGGAAAACAATCAAACTAGCTAAAAGCTAAAGATAGCATTCAAGTTCAAGCACAAATACTGTGTTATACACCCTCACTATTCTAAAATAATCAAGCAATCATAATCTCCCATTTCATTCCCAATACAAAGCAGAGCACTCTCAACCCTTTACCTTTGTGAGAACTGCTGTGTGTTCTTCTCCACAACTAATATAGACAACTTTCTGGGTACGTAAGAGTTTTACATGGCATGGAGACTCTCGATCTAGAATAAATGAAATTAAATACCACAACGTCACTATCATTTCCCTTTGAGATAAAATATGTAAAACTGTCTTGGCACGAATTTGGGGTCCCACTGGATTCCTGACACATATTCAGCTTCCTGTTTGTGTCTGCACTTGGACATCCATCAGATTTCTCACTTTTAACGTACCTACAACCTAACCCGTGGTTTCCCCTCGCTCTCCAACTCTACTCACTCCACATCTCACCCTGCCACACGCATATACAGTTTTCCTCATTTTATAAGTGGTTCCTTTATCTTGTCAGCTTTTATTTCAAACCACACATGCAACAATGAGCAAAAAAACAATTGGTCTCATCTTCATTTTATTTTATTTTTTTTT